CATTTCAATCAACGAAACACTCATTAATTTTGAACACATTTTTAACAATATTTAGCATTAATTTCTAATACATAGTATAAATTGATATAAATTCACATTAAAATAAAGCTCATAGACATAGCAATATATACGAACAGTCAAATAACATAATCCTTTTTCAAAACATCTCATTGGTTACTAAATCCATGTTTAGTCACATGATTGTAATCGCATTGTATTTAATAACATTATTAACGAGTCGTTAATAACGACTAAAGATATATTGTATACAAATGTATGCATAGAAAGTGATAAACATGTATATCATTTGATAAAAGAGATAATCCCATAAATATAAATCTTAACATTTTATTTTTTGTAGATAGTGTACAGTAAATGCAAAATACTGTATAACAAGATAAACATTTGATAAATATTTACAAATTAATTAAATTAAATATAGAAACATGTTACAATTACATTAATACAATTAATAATCAATCACAAAATTAAAATAACATTTAATATAATTATGCTTGTTTAGTTTTTACAACAAATCCAGTATAGGTTAGTATGAAAAATAGTCCGCTCATACAAAATAATATTAATGGATCCCAATAGATATTGGACAAGTTAAAATTCTGGGCAAGTATCACGTTTGTACCGTTACCATAACATTGTCCAATTGATTGGCTACCATTCGAGCATGGTATATTGCCAATATTTGTCCATTGATTAACCATGAGTGTTTCGTAGCCATAATGTATTATGGATAGATATTTTAGCCAAACTAACCATACTGGTATATCACTATGTAATAATTATTGTTAAACATAATGAATTAAATATTATTTATACGATTATTACAATGATCGATTTATTAATGGTAATTTCGATTATTATAAAATTTAATTTCTACAAACTAGATATTATTTCCATGAAAAGGTTTAATAAACTAATACTTACCCGACATTTATAAATAATCCGCTAAACAGCATCATGGTCATTAGTGTTGGCGTGAATATCAACATGGCCATTTCAGAATTAGGACTAATTACCGATATAAAACACCCTGGTAAACAACATATATGTAAATTAACATAAAATTTTTATAACTAAAAAATCATCATACTAATTTATATAATATATGCTTACCTACAAAACAGCCGCACATAATCATTAAAAAGCATAAACCAATAGAAATGCCGTAAGTCCTTAGATCGGGGTTGAGTCCAGCCATGAAATACACGATTGTATTAAACATAACTCCGATTATCATAACAAAAGGCAACTTAATTGAGAGTTCATAAAATATAATTAATTAACAATCACATTCATAAAACATTTACCAACACTTTTATACACAGATGTTTATAATTTGCACAAATCGCAATATTTACCCTGATTATAATTTTTGACACGATATATGGCAATAATGCATACATGCCATTATTGTACTCCCATTGAAACAAATGGTTTTCCTCGCAAAATATCTATGAATGTTAAAATATTTGACCAAGTTTTACATTTATCACGTTTACTTAAAATCAATTATCATGCTTATGAAATGTACCGTATATTCCGGGTTACAATTGCGACACACATACCGTAATAAATGACAAAACGTATATCATTGTGTTGTTTTGTACAATTAAAAATATAATGCCATTTATATTATTGACGTCAATCGATGTGGAGTGCATTTTATAATATACTGCGCCCAATAATAGTGCCAGAGCCTTTTTAAATAATTATTAAAAATAATTATATAAGTTTATAACAATTTTAAAACAAACCAGCGTGCGCATTATTTGGGACTTAATAAATGTAGTGTTGCGAATAAATAAATAATAAGTTCGCATCATTAACGTAGTAAACTGTATCCATTTACTAACATCATTATGTTTGTTGATTGTACATGGTGATTTGCGAGAATTTTGAATTTTGTCCATTTCTTTCAAAATAATTTTCTTGTAATTAGAATTCAAATATTTATCGCATATTCTCTGGAAATAAATATGATTTAATAATAATATAAATTTAATCTAAGATAATATGAATACTAAGGGGGAAAATATCTTTGGGGGAAATCGCCAACCCTTTTGATATTGGTATGTCAATGTGCAGAATTGTCACCAGATGTCTAATAAATTGTCAAAATTGGCAAATGGCCAGAGACGTTCGAGTACTGATCAATTTTCAAATCACGCGTCTATGGCTTATAGCATTACGTTCATGTGATCAACCATTCATTATGTGAATCACCTTTTTTAATGCTATAAGCAATAGACGCGTGATTTGAAAATTGACCAGTACTCGAACGTGTCTGGCCATTTGCCGATTTTGACAATTTATCAGACATCTGGTGACAATTCTGCACATTATTATACCAATATCAATAGGGTTGGCCATTTCCCCCAAAGATATTTTCCTCCTAAGTTATTTTACTTACATCAATGTTGATTTTATCTGTATTTGATGTAATTGCTACATTAATTAATAAAAAATACTATATGATAACGAGTATTTGTTTAGCTTATTTATTACTTACTTAATTGTTTAATAATATAATCACCAGGATTATAATTGACCGGAAAGATCTATCATGTAAATTATAGTTTAATATATTAATAATTTATTATAACTTACATAACCAATAGACGAGAAGAAATTAATTGCATTATCTATATAAATATAAAATAAATTAACCTTGTGGTTAATTATTGGCTTTGATTAAATATAAATATTTTCAATAATTTTTTGAGAGAGAGAGAGAGACCATTGGTTCCCATGAAAGCAACCCTTCCGTCGGTCATCAGTAATAAGTGGTCGAAAAGTGCGAACACTTGAGACGACGGCTGATGTATAGTACAGACAATAGTCCGGCCCTCACAGGCCATAGCCTTCAGTAGCCGTACAATACTTTCGGCCATAAATGAGTCCAAACCACTCGTCGGCTCATCGCTGAGTGTATTAATTGTTTTTGATTTAATATTAAATAATCAAATTTATTGTATACTATACTATATTGTATACTAAAATATACTATATTTTACCAAAATATTATCGATGGGTTTGTCAATAACTAAAATTAAAAATTTAATTAGTGCTTGATCAATATAAATATCTAGATAATAATATTATGAAATAGCAGATATTCAACATGGTAATTTATAATTAAAAATTACACAAACCTCAGCTGCTATTGACAAACGTTTCATGTCATGAGC